ATCCACGCCCAGTGTTCCCTGCCGGACCTCAACCACGACCATCCACGTCCAGTGTTCCCTGCCGGACCTCAACCACGACCATCCACGGCCAGTGTTCTCTGCCGGACCGCAACCACGACCATCCACGCCCAGTGTTCCCTGCCGGACCTCAACTACGACCATCCACGCCCAGTGTTCCCTGCCGGACGTTAACCACGACCATCCACGCCCAGTGTTCCCTGCCAGACCTCAACCACGATCATCCACGCCCAGTGTTCCCTGCCGGGCCCCAACGCCCCAAAAGTGGAGTCAACATGAGTCAACAAGCTGTTTTGAAATGTCATGGTGGGGATTACTCGAAATAAAGTAATTTTGTCTGTTTCTTTTCGTAGTTCGTGCAGTTTCCGGCAAGTCCCTTAAGACCTGTGCAGTTGCAAATTCTTCAACGATCCACGAAGTTCTGTGCATTCCGTAGAGTAGTGCATTCTATGCTTCTATAGTGAAAGAGATGTTGGAGTGCCGTATGATAGACTATGAAATATATTAGTTTCGGATAATTTGAGCAGCCCTTCAAAGATCCAACGAGTTGAGTCAAATGATACAAGTTCTTACATAAAGGGCTTCATGAGGAAGGAGATAGAACTCCACTCCTTAGACCTCAAGTGTGGCCCATGCAAAAGCAGGAGCCGCCCTTGCCAGCTTTCTCTCAGGAGCGCGCTGAAGCTCACTGGAGACAATGCAGAGATTACCGAGCTGATCTTGCAGGCGCGGACTCGGATGCCACAAGTGCTAGGGCTGCTAGGGGAAGGGGTTGGTGCAGTCCACCTAGTTGAGAAAGTGGAACTACGATATACTACTACAGTAATAATGTGTGATCAAAGTGTTGGAAGCTCCAGTTACAGGATTTTATGCATGCATTCTTACGTACATACATCCATGCATGATCATGCATCCATCCATCCATACATGCATGCTCACCAGTACAATTACAATTACTGTACAATTGCAATTACAATGGCACTACATTACATTGCATGCATTACATCAAATTACAGGCATTATATACAAACATTACATATTTAACATGACAGAACATAAGAAAAACATAACATACACACAAACGTACGTACATTCATAAGTACATTTATATTATTATAAATGAATATAAATGTATCCATGAGCTTTCGTCCAAAACTGGCCGCATCTCAATGGACCACTTTGTCTCCACGTCGCTTGTTATTATTACTATTATTATTAATTATGTTTGTTATTTTTTTCGGAGCATGAGCTGCCCGTCGCTCCCTCCATCTCGAACATTTGGGAGAATCTTTTGGATCATTCATCACAACCCGTATCATCCTGAAGATCCTTTTGTACATGGCCCCAATGACAACCTATATGCAATAGATTCCGTTGGACGTTCAAGTATGGCTGGTACCGCTCACCGAGTGGATTCCTTTTTGTCAGGCATTGGAGGCTTTACTTCTGGTGCCCCAGGCCCGGGGTCGTGCGTCGGTCGATCTGGCAGCTAGTGGCTGTGCTGTAGAGCCCATCGCTTCCGCTGGTCCACCTCATGGTTGGACCAGCTGGATAGTGTTGGACAACCTGCGATGAGCCGACGGTGAACCTGTTTCAATGCCGGATGCATCCGGATGCCCATTGCCTAAGGTTGACAAAGTTGTTTTTTAACGGACCAGACCGAGTTCAAAAGCCAAAAAAGCTGAGCCAAGTCAACGTCAAGCGTGTCGGCGAAGGTAGCAGCACTTGGACGTGTCTACCGTCTACCAAAAGAAAAGGGTAAGTTCCAGCAAGCCGCCCTCTAGGGCCCTTTAGGCCCGGTTTGGTAAGAGTCAAAAGGCGTAGATATAAATAGCCATTGTTGGGGGATGTTGGGGGTGGGGGCCTTACTACCCCTTCGTTGCAGAGCCCGACCCAGCGTCTTTTGCCTCGACGACCCTCCACGGAACGACCCTCGACCGGGGGCGAACCGCGTCAGGCCTTGACACCCTTTGGCCGTCGGAAGGGTCATTTGGAGGTGCCCGGTGCAGAGCCGGTAGAGATCCGGCGCGGTGGAGGAGTTCCGAGGCCTTTTTCAGAGGAGGGAGGGTCTGACCTTGCAGACAACAGGATCACTTCAATTATTTCAATTGATCTCCATACTATAATATTACCAATTTACATTAATTGTTTTATCCCAAAATATATAACTAATCCGTTTTGACAAGGTTTCGGACATTCAGAAGGAACGGTACTTTCCACAAACTTGACAAACCGCCAGTGTGCAGGTGTTGCAAGTTCTTGATCGTTTCGCTGAAGCCACTTGGCAGGGGGCATGGCGCTACAATGCGCTACAGATCTGCCAAAAGAAGACATAGAACAACTGAATACACGTTAGACGCCATCGGGGCGACCATTCCTTTTGTAACTTTTGGGAAGTTAGTATGGCTCTGACCTGTTAGAGATAGAAAATAGTTGAATATTATATATTATATTATTAATTGTATTTTTTCATTGGCTCCATCACTTTGGCTCAAGGGCCGAAATTCGCACGTTTGCCATTTGGCATCCACCGGCTTCCTTTCTTGAAGCTTTACAGTCGTCCGTCTTCATCATGCGCGACATGCGTCGTGACTCCGATGAAGAACAGCCAATGATCAGCTCCAGTGATGATGATGAATCGCCACGTGTCCAGGGCAAGACAATTGCGCTCGCAGTGCTGGGAGTCACACTATTTTTGGGTGCTCTCTACATGTGCGTTCCAATGAAACTGGGTAAGTTTTAGCACATTTTTGAGGATTCTTTCTTGTTTGGGTGTTCCCCTTATCCCCCTTATTAATGACAGGCTTCGCCAACCGGCGATGCCCTTGGGGGGACTGCGTGCATGCGTAGGCTCTTCGCACAGCAAAATGCGACAACTAACACAGCTTCGTACGCCTGCGCATATACACTTCCACACAGATGTGCGCATGAGGGTCTGAAGTAAAGAGCCAATCAACTTCAACTTCAAACACACGTACGCACACCTGCACACGCACCTGCACGCACACCCGCACGCACGCCCGCCCGCAGGCACGCACACGCAGCTTTGTCAAATATCAGGACTTTGTAGTCGTGGAAAACCCTGGAACAGCTCTATGTCGAAGTATTTTTGAACACTTCCTAGCCTAATTAAAGCTATCTGCATTTAGGCTAGAAAATGATCAAGAATACAGACTTCTTCAGCGTATTCCACTACAAAAAGTCCTGATTCTTGAAGAAGCCATATAAGCCTAGGTGGTGCTAGAAATGTCGACCGCAAACCGACATTTTGAATATCAACAGGACATATGTATTTTCATGAAGAAACGTTAAAAGCTGCGGAAACATGATGGCTACTGTAAAGCTTTATCAGGCTTTATCTCTAGAGAAGAAAGTATGCTAAGAGGAGAGGAAGTTTTGAGGTAGCAGCTGTGCCGAGCACCATTGGCATCACCAGGGTACAAGCAACATTGTTCATAAGCTACGTACATTTAGCACAAACACTGTAATTTACAGTGTTTTGCGCTTAGTCGTACACCAAAGGATTTGCATCTTTCCTAAAATTTGTCCTCAACATTTAAGGGTGATGCTAGACATGCGGGTCGGCGGCATGGGGAGCGTCTCCGTTCGCTTGCTATGGTCACCAAGACGGCATCGCCGGATAAGTCGGGCTAACGCCCGGGTGCCGCCGACCCCCCTTATGCACCTTGAGTGTGGTATAGCGACATGTCCTGATTCATAGCGCAGATAATCACATATAATCACCCAAGGGTCATCACCAGGAAGACATCCTTCGCCACAGCCTTGGCCCGCTTAGAAACCCAGTAAAAAAGATTTGGCAGGGCCACGGCCAGGCCTGGAAGGCGTGCTTCGCCAGTGGAAGCTTTGACCCGGTGAAAAGCATAGGCAGAGGCCACAGCCAGAAGCACTGAGTGGACACAGGCGACCGTTCCGCCCTGCAGTGTCCCAGACGCCGCCCCGCCTCGGTGTCAGCTAGGCCGGAGTCGGCGGTTTTGGGCATGCAACAGTTAAAACAATGATGATTTTTCGCTTGGAGCAAAGCTGCTGACTAGGTCCGGGCTCAGCTCTGCTCATTCCACGGGGCTTCAGGGCAAGAGCGACTTATGGTCCCTGTCCATTCCCTCAGAGCTCAAGGATGCCTACAACTCTGTGAAAGAAGGGGTTGAATCTGTTCATAAAGGGGTGAATGATCAAGTATGGCAGACACAGCACCAGGCCACTCGCAGGTTACTCAGCAATTTTTTTGGATATTTCAGGATGTTTGGATTTATTTTCGGAGTTTTTTTGAATTTGTTTTGGACCCATGCTTCAGTCTTCTTGAGCAAACTCAGGAAATGATGGAGACCTTCAACAAATATGATGTGAACAGCGACGGGAAGATCGACCGCGATGAATTGGTCACCTGGGTCTTTGGCCCGAAGAATGCAGATTCAGATGAGGTCAAAAAGAGCGTGAAGTGCTTCATCGAGAAGTTTGGATCCAAAGAAGGCGAGTTGACCCCCCAGGAGATGTACTACGTGTTTGCCCCCATTATCAAATCAACTGACGGCTATTTGAGCAAGATTGGCTGTTAGTGCCATGACAAGCGCCCCAGCATTGGGCATGCATGCACCTTTGCCGCACCAGCCCGCAGCAAGGTTTTTTGAGCAGTCTTGCAAGGTAAAAATCCACGGAAGGCTGCTGCAAGTTTGTCCATTGTCCTCCATATGTATTGTGTTTTGATGTTTTTTGGTATGTTGAGGTTATTAATTAAACAGGTGTTGAATCAAACAATTGTTTTTTTAATGCATCTGGATTGATGCTATTAAACATATGTAATGTATGCCGAGTCAAACATACTAATACGAACATATAGTCAGTACTAGTCAGTATCAGTCAATAATACTTGTACCATATCACAGGGATTGAAGCTGAAAGAAATGCATTCATTGGAGGATATTGGAGGTCAATTTGTTTTTGCTGTAACTGTGGGGCCGGTCGAACTGGGCACGGGTTGGCGGGCAGTCCTGCAGTGCACAGACATTTGCGCTGAAGAAGGCCCGACCGATTTCTCATTTGCCCAGAGAAAAGCAGGGCGCTTGTCAGTTCATAATTTAGCTTGTTGTTTCACGGTGTTCAATTTATATAAATTTGTTGCTTTAGTGTTAGACATGGCTCAACCTTCGCCTGGGACGATTCATCCCGACTTGCTGCCGGCCTACCGGGTCTACCGACTTTTGTCCGGCTGAAAATTCACCAATCAGCATTAGGCATTGCATCAGCCTTGCAACCTTCGACCTTTGCCTAGAAAGTCCAGAACGCCCTGGAGGTATTGGAGACCGTTTTAGTCCAGGGTTCATTCATTTTTGACTTTATGTTGTTCACAGGGTGTAGAAGCTGTTCATGGTCCTCCGGGACTTCAAAAAAGCGTGTTTCGCACCTTGAGGGATTGCCACGGCAATGCAGGCACCTTGTTTGATGTTGCCGTGGCCATCGCACGGCCTGAGGATACCACGGTCCACATGGTCTTCAGAACCTTAGCGGCCGCGCTGAGTCACACCAACTTGAAGGCCCGAATCCGTGGGCCCCCGCTTCTACAGTCGCCCGCTTGCGGGGGACTGTTGGTGTTTCTATTGCTTGCGGTCAACGTGTTTGGCAACTGAAGCAGCAGGTGGACCGTTCCTGAACTCCAGAGTTTAAGTTTAAATCCGGAGGCAGATGAGCACAAACACGTCTCCACAAGCGGAGAAATTGCTTGTTCACTGCATGTTAGTTTGTTGTCCGAACATTTTTCCGTGGCGATGAGATGCTGTGAGGCCTCATGGAAAAGGCATGTTTTTTGAATCTCAAAAACCAAAACGCGAGGATGCAAGGATCTGGAGATTCTGCTGAGCTACCACGAGCTTTCCCCAGAGCTTCGCTTGTCTTTGCCTCCATCCGATTGTGAGGATGAGTAGGGGGTTAGAAGTTATAGTACGTGTTTGTTGTGTGTCGCATTTTGCATGTCACGCACAGCCGCCAGCCTTTGGTTTGAGCCTAAATTCTCTCTCTCTCTCTCTTTGCCTCTCTTTGATACATGAATAGAGAACTATTTACATACATATATATAAAGACATATCCAATTGTTGATATTGTTGCCTGAGCTGGACATTTGCCCGCAGAGTCCCCGCTGCAGCAGATGATTGAACAAGGGTGGTTCCTTTCTGGGAGATGTGGGATCCAGGAATCAGATTGCAGTCCTGCCAGGATATGGAGATGGAGAAAGGCGAGGAGCCAGCTCCAAGCAGCTTGACATATAGCCTGACACCCTCAGACAATTCAGAATACCATGGGCTATCCATGGCTCCATATGGCTCCTATTCCACAACATTTGACCCTCGAAAAGCGGACACATGATGATCCCAGGTGGATCCGAAGAGCTGTGGGAGCTGATGGCCAAGGCGCCGGGCACCACGTGCCTCGGAGACACGAGGATGGGTCGGACGTCGAGATCTCGTGTCGATGTGATGCGGTTTCCAACGAGGCCTCCAGTGATGCTTCCCCGAGGTACTTGGTTTAGAGATGGACACAGACATGTAATATCATATGTACTATATTGTACTATATTATACATGTAGCACTATTTTTAATTTAGGTGTAGAATTTGCTGGGCGTATTAGTAGTATATAGTAGAGTATCTATATAATTCTATGTATATATATATAACGGAGGGAGGGGCATGAAAGGGCCGCTGGGGTTGGTGTCCCAATCTCCTGGTCCTAATCCCGATGCCAATCAGCTGTTGACCCGCATGGATCCACACTGGAGCCAAGAATTTGCTAAAGATACAGTTGCTGAGAGAACATGAGCCACAGGCAAAATTGTTGATGAAAGAGTTTTGATGTCGAGGTTCACCCCCACACCATGTCATGGCACACTGGCACACCCACATTGTTGAAGACGTGTTTTGGATACAAAGACATGTGGCTTCCCATCCATAGCTGTTATGACCGTTGCAGGGGTTTGCCTCAACCACCTCAGGCTTCAGACCATGTTTGGCACAGGTCACATTGGCGCGCCATCCCAACAAATCATGTTCGATGCAAGATGCAGCTTGCCCATGCAACAAATTGTTGGCCTCGTCACACCGTCATGTTTCCTTACACTAAGGATTCGGAACGACTTGATGGACCGCGGAATTATTCAGAAGGTGATTGATGCAGCTCGGCTACATTAGCAAGTCGTCCGGAATGTGACTTGGTAGATGTGGGGAACACATCAGCATTAGGGCATCGAAACGCGCACAACAATGATATCAGAAGCATCATGACCGGCACTCAAGGCCTTGCAGAAGTTTGAGGAATACACCATTGCCATAGAGGCATGTGTATCGTCAATGACCACGATTCTGTACCTGTTTCTTCGAGTCTGACGTGGCGTTTTTCGTTTGCTTTGTGAGAGGGGAGTGAACATTATCACGTTGGTTGTTCAGCCAAGGACACTGCAGTAGTGCGTCTCATATTTATATATTTGAAAAAATACCATGCTGACTGCCCTACTCCCTGCTTGTTTGGGCACCACATCAAAGCAGATCCTGCGAATCCTATAGTTTCATGTGCTTTTGCGTCACCAATGGGCCTGGAACTCCGCCAATCTCGTTTGCAGGCTGGTGCTGGAGTGTTAATGAACGTGGCGCTTGAAGTGAAAGAGAGGGATGAGGAGATTTGGCAGTTTTGATTGCAAGCTAGACCCTTGCTACTAGTAATGCCCTTGCTATGGTTTGTTGGGAATTCTGTCCAACCGGTGGGCGACAGCTGTTTCGGCCAGGACGCGACAAACCTGCAGCGGAAACTGGACGTCGGGCTGCCGCTTTGCCGGAATGGTGATGTGGGTAGGGTGGTGGGTGGTCGATGGGTGAGTCTCTTGCTCACCATCACTTGCTCACTCGCAACAGAAGACTTTACGGCGAACGGGCGAACGTGGGGGGTCTGAACTGCTAGATGCCGCTTGCAGTGCACACTTGTGCAACTTGATTGATGATGATTGATGCACCACGTATTTAGATGGCAGACGAGTCGCTGACAGGGCCTGCCACAAATGCCTCACGATCATTGGACACCTGGCCACCTCAGCGGAAAAGATGCAGAGCACAGGCTCTTGGGCTACTATTGTTTGCATTTAGGTGTTGGAGGTGTTGGCTTCAAAAACAGATGGCAACAGGTTTGGAGCATTTGGAGTCAGGATGTTGTTTGTTCCAACAGGTTGGCAGCCGGCTCTGGTAGTGTCCTTTGTCCAATGGGGTTTAAGGCAGCGGCCTCCACTTTGGTCTTCATCGATCAATAAACACGCCAAGTACCAATCACTTGGTGAGTCAATTGACTTGTGGAAGCTAGATGTCGGTGCATGTAGACTCTTAGCATGAAGACTATCAGAAGCTCCCGTTGGTTGGTGGTCGGTCCCCCCTGCCACCAAAAACGCCACCAGCCCACCCCCATGACTTTGGCAGTTTTGCGAGCTTCTTAGTCTGAAAAGTTATGACTTTTAAAATCGATGTGACACTTACATGCATAATTAGTCTATTATATGCATATGTATATATATATATATGTGCGATATGTATTCTGTTTGTATACATATATGTGCCGCACACGCTTGCAACATGCACCAGCCTTTGGCACAACCTTCGGCGACATCGAATGCGACGAAACCCTCCAGGCTTCGTCTCCAACCTCTTCCGACTGCTGGCGGCCGTTGCTTTGCACGAGGAGATTGCGTTGCTGCTGCATCGAAAGCAAGCGGCAAGCAAGGCTTTGGAGTATTTGAAGGTGTGAGCTGGGAGAGTGTTCCATCGCCCTCGCAGATGGTGTTTTTCAATGTTGTTTCTTGCACATCATGGATATGATTTGAAATGACCATCATTATTGTCATATGTGCGTTGTAGGGACCTCGTGATGTTTATCATTGTGATGTTTTGGGCGGTGGGAGGTTGGGGAAGTGGGTTTCACTTGTCCAGCAGCCATTCAATGCGATTCTGATTGGCAAAGTTTGCCACGTAAATCAGCTTTCCCGCTTCTAAATGCTTGAGCGGGGTAGGGAGTAGGGAGATCTTCTGGGACATGATTGAGGGAGTTTGGTTCACAAAACGAAGAGGGACTCCTTGCTTTTGAGTTTTGTTTTGGACTGCTCCGGCCGTGTTGAAAAAGGAGGTGTTTCCTTTAGACGCTGAAGGGGTGGCAAAGAAAAGGAAGGGGCAAGATCATGCAAGATCTACAAAGATCTTACACCATGGTACAAACAATTCACATGCTCAACTGAGGATGGGGTTGGCAAGAATCAAGAAGAGGATCAAAAAGGACATCTGAAGTAAGCAAAGGGAAATCAATGTGAACCTATTGAAGGTACGGAGACTACAATTCCACGTCCATTATTTCAAATATTGTAAAAAACACATGTATTTATGTAAACAGTTTCTAGAATGCCAGTGCACCACATTCCCGGAACGAATTGAATCGAAAGAGATCAGCTCATCCAGAGTCTCAGGATCTTAACACTAGTATATACATGGATATACATGTTACTGCATATACATTAACAAAGTGATTTGCAATAAAACGTTCTTAATATTCCTTAATAAAGGAACAAGTCACGTGTGAAAGGAAGCACACAGAACCAGAAGGTTACATGGTCTTATGTGCTTGGTTTTTCCGCCTGCCGGACGAGAATGAATTGTTGATTATATGTATATGCATGATATGTCTACAATCGGGATCCAAAGTTACAGTA